CCTTATTGCTTATGTAAAAACAAGATGCCAGATGCATGTACATTGCCAATAATAACACAAAATATGAATACATTTCAATACAAAACAGGTAAAAAATTGACAACTTAAATCTAAGAGCATTGTGTCGATACAAGATCTAGTCCTCCATGTCTGCAAAATCAATATCTGAAATGGACCGTTCAGTTTGAACAGCTAATACAATGACATTCTCCAACAACCAACCGAACATTCGAGGTCATGTTTGCGACAGGTACATCTCTAAGAGTGGCATTTTTTGCAATTGCATCTGATAATATTTAAAAGAAAATCTGGAGCAGCGGGTTGTGTAGATTTTGCGGGTACAAGAGTCCTTAGAGAAGTTCCTATCCCCATTCTGTCGGGTCTAATTCATAATTTCAAATCCATGTTTGTGTTTGAAAATATGAAGGTATAGAGTGTTGCGCCGCAGCATCAGACGTAGGCGGAATGCTTTGAACTTGAATAACAGATGAACTTGACATGGTTTTACTTACAAATTTGTGAAATCTCAGTCTGTTCATATTATCTCCCTAGCTCATCATATAATATCCTCATGGCATTTTCACCGCCTGTAATAATTTCTTCTTTGTTTGTTGAAGAATGAAATATTGCAGCATTTTGCCGGAACACTTCATTTTTACACATTATTTTAAGAACTGTCGCAACCAGAGAAAGCGTGCAGGAATGGTAGGTGATAACAAATCTCTATTCCAATCATATTTTGGTGTCTTTTGAATATATATGCCAAACTATTTGGGTTTTCATTGTCTGATCTGAAATATACATTCTTCGAATCTGACGAAAATCCAAAACTGACAACAGTCTGTTTAAAACAACATTTCCCAAAAGATTGTTTCTCTCAGAACATTTGAGTTGTATTGTTTCCTGCATCCTCGGTAACCCAGGCTATTTACCGTATATATGTATCGGTAATAATATTAAATGTAGTATATACGGATGACTCTAATCCAGTTACCTCTCTGGCGTGGGTTCGATCCCCGGGAGATGCTTTGGTAGTTTAGCGCGGAGGAAGGTAGCCTAGTACTGGTGTAACTCTCCAGGAACGATGGTTAGGAAACTACCCGCCTATATGACTGAAATATTGTTGGGAAAAGGCGTAAAATGAAACAAACAAACAAACAAACAAGTATATACGGAATGTGTACCGTGGGTTCCGACGATGTGTTTCCTGAAAATCAAAACTTCTACCAGGATGAACATCTACGTTAACCAGATGCAACTTTAGCAGGCTTACCACAGAACAAGCAATTACACTTAAAAGCAAAATTAGCATGTGATCTTAAAGGTCTTTTAACTTGGTTACACTTAACATTGGAACTATTTGAAATGTTTCTATTGAGAATAAAATCCCTTCTACAGTCTTGATGCACAATTTGGCCTGTAATTGTTCGTATTCTTGTATACTTGAATTCCTCAGATCGCTAGCATGGTTAACAATGTTGCTTCCCTTCTCTTCTCTCTGAGAGTGACAATTGGGACCTATTCTGGATATCCTGCGCACAAAATACGCACGTTGTAGAATCTGAAAGCATATTTTAAATCTACAGATCTGTATATATTATTATTTTGTATATGCATTATTTCACAGTAACAATAGTATTATGTAGTGTAAAATATGAATATACATCATACATGTATATAACTTATGAAATATGTTATTTTATATATGTTTGTGTATTGATTTTCTTACTATTCAGACCAATATCGACACATGGGAACATGATGAATGTATAAACCATCTGACATTGGTAAAAACAAAATATACCTGTTGCCATGTTGATATTCACTTGTAGATCCCGAAATCAGAAATGCACAACGGGTTTCTGAAAAAAAAATTCAGTATAGAAATATTCAGTATGAAATGTGCATTTATTTCAGCCTACCTTAAATAGCCTATGTTATTTCCCTGCATTTAACATACATTAAACCTTTGTCCGAAAACTTGATGGCAAGCATGTGTATATTTACAGAGAAATTGTCATGAGTTTTTATTAATTTAATATACAGTAGTCAGTATAAACCTACCGAAATGCAACGCCCTTCATATCGTTATTTGTTCCATCAGCATGGTTTGGTAATGTGGCTTGTATCATCTATAGAAATAAAAGACATATTTTGTGAGAAATCATGTATGAATTTAGCATATATTTATATTAGCATATTAACTTTGTATTTAAAAGAAACAAGTATATTTTGCATGAACCGATACTCAAATGACATAATCGTTCATTTCATTTTTCCACTTTGATTAATAAAGCGTGACGTCATTTGGCCAGTGCCAATTTGAATATTCGGCATTACTTTCCATAGGTGTTAAATGTAGGCAATAACAAAAAATATCCGTACTATGTTATACATTGTGTACTTTGCATTTTTAAACTTTTAAATCAGTAAGTTATACAATCACAACAGACCGAGGAAGGTGAACATATATGGAATGTATTGTACATTCCGGGCAATCATGTAGTATGAAAGCTCGGGAGCGATTTTGCAAATTTCCTATGAAGAGCTACTGGTGTGGTCCATTTCACATAATAGCATATTTAAAAAAGGACAAGTTAAAACAAACATTGTTCATATATTATAGATAGAAATTGTGCATAGATAATACTTAAAGTATGACTCACCTTGATACAAGAGACAGCTGAACATTAGATAATCATCATATGACCATTGGTGTGTAAATCATGGATGTCCTATCTGAAATTAAGTATTGATTTTATTTATGTACATTTACATGTTTAATAATGCAAAATATATATCTAAATATAAATGTATATATACGTACATGTAAATCTGAATATTGTTTTATATACTGGTTTGGGACCACCAAAACCAGACAACCACCAAACCCGGACGGCCCCCAAAATGCTTTATTTAGTATTTTCTTTGTTCAGTGGTTGTCAGTCAAATTAAGTAAATAAATTTATTTCAAGCTACGTAAATGGTAATATTTTTGTTGTCTATTTCTAGAATGTTGACGTTGAACTTTTGGGGTCAAGAAAGCATTGCCTGACCTCATATACCAGCTATAATCATTTGCAGAGTAAACAATAGAATATTCAAAACTTCAGCATTTGTTGCTGAAATATTGTATATCATGTTAAAAATCTAAAATCAAAACACCCCACGTGATGTACATATCTGTCCGGACCCATGGTACTGTAGTGTAGACAAGTTAGGTAATTTTGATACCCTCCTTGTGGAGCCTAAGATATAAGTGTCAATACAATCAGAAATAAACAAACTAGTTTGTTAGTTAGGAGAAGAACCTAGCTGAACTGTGTCAAATTTTAAGGTCTCTAGGTTAGAAATTATGAAATTTGTACGGTAAATTGTTCAAAAAGTGTTCGTTTGATGGTCCCCGATAGTACAATAAAAATACCTTGTTATAATAAAATAATGCATATTCACGACGTAAATTATGTCCCGTTTTGTCTTCCGTAGATTAAAAAATCGTGAAATTTGTTCATTTCAAAGTAACAATATATGTCGAAAATACAAAGTTTTCATATTAAATATGTCTTATTAACATCGTTTTCTTATAAATATATATATATCGTTTATTTAAATCAAATCTACTAACGTTTACTGCTGATATTGGTTTGCTGTTTATTTCCAAAAATATTTAACATAAAATCGTAGTTATATTTAACTATGGCACTTATTGTGAAAGTAAAAAGGCATAAATGATAAAAGTAAATGTAAAATACACAAAACAAACTTACCTTTGCCATCTAAATGCTATTTTTGATGAATAATTATATTTATGTTTCGACGGAAGTTTCACGAAATCATATGACAAGTTTTCAATGACGCGCGTGCCTACTTAAAATTGTTACGTCATAGGAAAAAAACCGCGTGTATGGTGTACAGTTCGGGTCTTAAAATATAAAGTTAAAATTCGTGAACTTTGAACGCTTGTAAAAAAAGTTGTGCACAGAGTTATATGTGCAACTTTTTTTCTGACATATACATATACCAGACCTATTCAATGAACAAAGATTGAAAACTTTTGCAATTAGTTCTGGGTCATATTTTATTTTTACTAGACTAAATAGGGAAAAATGCGGGTCGTGTTAGAATGTATATTTCTACACTTTTACAACAATTATCTCATATATAATATTGTCATATCCGTGATCGTAAGGGGGAATTCTTTAACAATCGTCTTTTCCGTTGCCTTTTTGTGGCAATTTGGCCACAAAGCTATAAATGTATCTTTCATGTTTGTGTAAAAAGCTATTTTATATGTTTTCCCAGAGACATAGATAACGTCATAGTTATATATATGTCTCTGGATTTCCTAATTTTTTACCTTAAACTAACTCGGAATTATCTAATGTAATACATTCAGAAATGAACTTACACGAATTTAATATTCTATTTATCAAAGACCGTTTAAAGTGAATAAAGAGTCATTTTTCATTGACACGCATATAGTATAACGCTAACATTTACCGCGTCTTTACACTATGTTTGTATAACGCTAATGACGTCACGTCAAAATATAATGCACGGCCATGCAATACCATATTTACGGAGTCGCAAAATCGGCACGGGAGTGTGATAAAAAGCCCTACATGTCTCCTATGAGCCAACTTAACAAAAAGTTGGACAAGCCAAGGCCATTAAACAAACAAAAAATAATACAGTCCTTTCACATCGCAACCCCATATGAGATATATTCCTAAGAATATGGAAGATACCTGGCCAACAACTCAACAAATATAGTCATATGAGCCAACTTCATATTGTCTGCGAAGAATGATATAGAATGGAGTCAAGACCCCCTTTCACTAAAGCAGGTACGTATATATATAGATCTACGTGCCTGACTAAATCTACCATATAAAGGCAAAAAAAGTGTTCTACATCATTTGCTGAATCTTGCTATGTGTTTTTATGTATTTAATATTTCACCAGTTTTGGGATATTCTCATTAGTATAATTATACAAAATTGAAAAAGAAACCAATGTTTGGCTAAAATTTCATTCCAAATTCGCTTGTCAAAACCTGGAAAAAATGCTCGTGCATGTCGGTCGTGCATACGGAAAATATGTGTCAGGTATCAGTCCGAGTTGCATGATCCTATCGATCAGTCAAGCTCGTCATTCATTGTTTCTCCATGATGCATATATATAATGGTCTCATTGGCTTCCCGTGCATAAAAATTGTATCATCACAAAAATCGACTTGTAAACATATTTAGTATCATTCAGTTAATTACTGAATTCAAAATTTATAGGTGATAGTAACATTTAAGGACATGAATGGTGAGATGTCCGGGTCCGTACTTTCATGATCAGTGAGTGAAAGGGCGGATGGACCCTCATTAAGCCTAGAATATTCATACTCATTCTTATATGTTGTTTATAGTAAAATACTACCAGCCCAAGTTAAGAAGATTCAACTATTATATTTTCACGATTTTGGTAAATTTTGATGTTTTATGTATTCGATTAAATTTATAATTGTATATACAATTAACAACAAATCTACATATCGGACCACTGTCTGTCTTTATGTACAAATAAAATGTTTGTGACATAATTATACACTAGTATGGAGCACCTCAAAATACTTGATTAAATTTTTGTCCAATTTGTAAATTGTATGCGTCAGCATTTTAGTGCGACCCCTTTAAATATGGCCGCGCCCATCGCTACATGTTAGTATTTTTTGGTTCTCCCTTTTTTGGATATAAAGAGGTAAGATACTGGCCCGGGACCACCAATCGGACAGTTTTTGAACACCTTTTCCATACAGATTTCATAAGTTTATAGATCTGAAAGTTTGACACAGCTAGGTTCTACTCCATACTACAGTAACGTTTGTTTATTTCTGATTATAGGGTGCATAGAAAACCGGAAAGCACCGGATAGCACCGAAATACCGGAAAGCACTCAAATTTCTCATAAAAACATATGAAAACGTTAATTAATCGGTTTATAAGTGTTACAAATCGATTTATTAGATTAAAATCTTTCAGACAAGTCATTTTTATATTTATATATTGATAATTATTACGAGTATTTAGGAAAATAGATATATCGAGTGCTTTCCGGTCCTGTTAAGATACATGTACATTACCGGATAGCAATATTGTTTATCAAAGTTATACATGAAAACTTTATTTTATTGATTTGAAAGTGTTACCAGTCGATTTATTAGATCAAAATCTTACAGACAAGTCATTTTTATAAAAATATATTGATAATTTTTACGATTATTTCGGAAAATAGATATAACGTGTGCTTTCCGGTCCTGCTAAGGTACATGTACATTACCGCATAGCAATATTGAATATCAAAATAATACATGAAAACTTTATTTTATTGGTTTGAAAGTGTTACCAATCGATTTATTAGATCAAAATCTTTCAGACAACATGTTTTTATAAATATATAATGATAATCATTACGAGTATTTAGGAAAATAAGATATATCGAGTGCTTTCCGGTCCTGCTAAGGTACATGTACTTTACCGGATAGCAATATAGTTTATCAAAGTAATACATGAAAACTTTATTTTATTGATTTGAAAGTGTTACCAATCGATTAAATATATCAAAATTTTCCAGACAACATGTTTTTATAATTGTAATATGATTATTATAACGATTATTTAGGAATGTTAAAGAAATTGAGAATGCTTTCCGGTTTTGTTAAGTATATGTACCGAAAAGCACTCGAATTTTCCCTAAAAAAAACGTACAACCTTCATTGTATTGAATTGAAAACATTACCAAGAGATTTATTAGGAAGAAATCTCTCAGACATTATTTTTTCATAAATAATATTACTAATAAAAAAGTTTAAAATAAATATTAAAATAGATATATCGAATGCTTTCCGGTCCTGCACATTCCATTATTGCTTTCCGGTCCTGTGAAGTAATAGTAATACATCACCGAAAAGCACTGGTCCTCTTACCTCAGACAAACAGATGGTATATAAATATTTAAAATGTATGTACCTTGTCTAATATATTAATATATTTATTTGTTGTAGGCTATATGGAAGACAAGAGGATTCAAAATAGCAGAAAGAGAAGAACAGTAATAGTTTCAGTGATGTTTTATTTTATTTTTGACAATAAACAGTGCAATGAATAAAAATAAACGAAACTAATTACTAAGAACAAAATAAACAGATAAAAAAACAGAACTTAGCAAACATATATACATACATAATTGAAAAATAAGTATGATATTGAAATCAATCAAGCTACACTTCACGCCTTCATATAAAACAGAACTTAGCAAACATATATACATACATAATTGAAAAATAATTATGATATTGAAATCAATCAAGCTACACTTCACGCCTTCATATAAAACAGAACTTAGCAAACATATATACATACATAATTGAAAAATAAGTATGATATTGAAATCAATCAAGCTACACTTCACGCCTCGTTTAATACACGGGCACACGCTGATTGAACGGACACACGCTGATTTAATTATCACATTTAAAGAGGTGTTAATAATACACAATAACTTGATGTATTTAACTGATTGATTATTTATAAACTTTTCGTATTCGTATTCGATTATTTGAGGTATTATATATGATATTGAAAAGTCATTTAAACTTATAATTTAATTGTATTTACAAACAGTGATGTTTTAAAAACAAAATCAACAAATAACTATCTCATTATTATTTACATATAAAACTACAAAATATATATACATAGGCAGACCCCTAGATTTTTTTTTATGTAATATTAATATCAATGCATATTATATTATGGTAAATCCATTTCAGTTCGAGTATGGGCTAGACTATAGCCTGATGAGCATAAATGACATCTTAAGACACACTCGAACCTACTATTGCGGTCGTGATATAAAGTATCTATGAACTGCAACAACCCGAGATAACTCAGGTTGTGGGTTCATAGGTACATACTCCCTTTTCCGCTGAACTCTTGTTAATTTGCAGAATAAATTATTTTTTTTGTAAATGACGGACAGGTCACCGGCATTACCCAAAAGATATAATGTTTTGGGAGAGGTTCCATTATCTGAATTCCAGACGCCACGATCGTCTGAAAAACTTCTTTTTTTGCTACGGGAGCGCTTGTTCAAAAATAATTTTTATATCAAAAGAGTGTGTAGTTAATTGCAATTTCTAATTATCTAATTTAATGTGCATGTAAAGGACAGTGTCTAATTAATGCAACTTTGATGTGCAGGTCGGTACTCTCAATTATCATAATTGTGTACAAATTGATTAAATCATCACCTTTTTGTGCTACAATATACAAGGTCTTTAATCAGCAAGGATTAGCACGTGTGATAAACAATACAACAACTACTGTCCTACACTGATGACCACATTGCTTTTCGGTACACATAGTATGGTAAAAATAAAGACATAACTGAACGAAAATTTATAAGTTTTTCTTTATTTTACATGATATAAAAATATAATAATAAAAAATATGGTTCGATGCTTTGAATAACTTATTGGTACTTTTTACACAGCCTCTTTCTGTCCTTCACACAACCTATAAAATATTAGAAATATGATACATTGATCTATGGTATGAGCAAGATTGAAAAATCGTGTAACTAATCATAATATTTTTAATTGAAATAAGTTCAACTTAATTAATCAATTTATAACACTTTCACATAATTAATATGAAGGATTAGTGTGATTTATATAAATATTCGAGTGCTATTCGGTAAAGTATATGTACTTTAGCATTACCGGAAAGCAATCAATACAACTTTGTAACAACTTTGAAAATCGCGTAATGAAACATAAAATATTTATAAAAACGTCATGATATACAGATCTTCAACTACTAAATAGATTGGTAACACTTTCAAACCAATAAAATAAAGTTTTCATGTATTACTTTGATAAACAATATTGCTATCCGGTAATGTACATGTATCTTAGCAGGACCGGAAAGCACTCGATATATCAGTTTTATATATCTGAGGCCATCGTCGGATACCCACGGTCGAACCATTAACATTTATCTATTGCATGATCTATTGATTGCATGTTATGTGACATGTTTATCAATCATGGGTATCCGACGATGATCTGAGGCCTGTGTCTGTGAAGGAGGGTATCAAAATTACCTAAATTGTCCACACTACAGTACAGTACCATTTATCCGGACTGATATGTCCATGATGCTGATTTAATTCAATAAAAGCTTTAGTGTTTTAAATTTTTATTTTTAACATGATATAAAATATTTCAGCAGCATATAAATTTTTGATATTCAATTATTCACTTAGCAAATGATTATAGCTAGTAATATGAAATTAGGCAAAGCCTATGAACGGGGAAGTCGTTAAAAAATTAGTTTCATTCTTTCCGTTTTAAAGGTGCCATTCGGTATTTAATGCATCGCTTCCGTTTTCACTCGGAACACTCGACAATTATTATTAATCCGAAAAGTTGAGATTTGTTCCTTTATCGGAATACCCCGCCTATTATCATTGCGTTACATTGTAAATGGCGGCGCCCGACTAGAACTGACACTGAAAATTTGAAAATTTCATTGATAGGTATAGAATTCTATATATTTTTTAATTGTTTTTTATTTGATTTTCTTTTAAATATACACGTGTAGTCTATAGCCGGCCAAGCCAAAGCCCGGGCCCGCTTCGCAGTCCCGGCCTTTGACTTCCCCGTATAAGCAGGCCTTTCCCCAGGCGCTTTTAGCACCGCGCTCCGCTGTGCCTTAATCTCCAAATCAATCTTACCGCTGTGCCATAAAAGTCACCGCGGCGCTTAATTTTTCCGATCCTTGTTTACAATTTCTTATAGCACTTGCAGAGTCGGACTCGATGATTAATCAATTAACAACAGCGGTCATCAACTAGACAGTGTGATAACAGATTAACAGTTTGTTTATAGGGTGCAATTAATAATCAGTCTGTGCGAAAATCTGTCACGGTCTGTCTGAATAAAAATCAAATTATCCGAGATAAATTTCGTTACAGTCAGTCCTTATGTTTGAATAAAATTTCAAGAAGCTAAAAATTTCAATGAGCTGTTTGATAAAAAGTTCCCGGTGACCCAAAGAAATTTTTAAAGAACCTGTCTCTTCAAAAAGTTACATTTTAAGCAACAGTAAATTTGCACCCGATAAAGGTACATCGATCGATAATTTATCGGCGCTAAGCGAAAATGCCCGTTAGCAAAGGATACCTACTTTACAAAATACCATATAGCTTTTCCATTTATTATCCGATTTTTGAAATTTAAAGTTTATTTTCAAGAAAAATGCTTGTTTAATTCAAATATCTAATTTATTTTTTAAAGATACAGACTATATTTCTGCAACGACAATTAAGAAATTAACTTGACGAAATCCGCGGTAAATTTACATTTTTTTATATAAAAAGCATATATATGAAATTTATTATTACGGTAACATAATAAATTCAATTTCAAAATAAAAAAGAAGCCGATGGAAGTTATTCACAGTTGATCAAAGATGCAATATTTAAGATTTATTTGGTTATGTAGTCAAATTAATTGACGCACAATTGTTTTACGGGTAATGTATTGCGGGCTTTACAATTCGCTCAACACGTAAAGTAAATTTATTCATTTTTTTAAATACAAAATATTGCTGATATTGTCAATACATGTATTGCCATTTTCATAGGATATCTAAAATTTCTTCATCATTTATATCATTATTATTTTTTTGTAAATC